AACAAACAAACAAACAAACAAACAAACAAACAAACAAACAAACAAACAAACAAACAAACAAACAAACAAACAAACAAACAAACAAACCACCTGCTCCGTGTTTCATCCATGTCTGTTCATTTTTCCCGTGTAGACTTTTCTCGTACTGTGGTTTCTGTCGTCCATGTGTGACGTGTGCGGTGATTTCCTGCTTCTTTCTCCTGTTTTGTGAACACGGTCGTCTCCTTCTGTGCAGAGTTGAACCACGAGCTCCGAGAATCCCTTTAAACTTTACTGACCTTAATGTTTTCTTACCTCAGCACACAGCACACTCTGAATGTCTGAATGTCAGATCCGTACGCTCACGTACGCTGACGTCTTCACGCGCGTTTCACTGCGAGCGAGGATCGATCAATAACCACACGTCTCTTCACGTCGATGTCATTTCCTTTTCCAAAAGGTTGTCAGGAGACAGAGGGGGGGGTCGCTAATTATCCCTGTTTTATTGATGCCGCAGATCCTGTTGCAGGCGGACCCCCCCCCCCCCCGAACCCCCCCCACTGAGCGACAGAGCACCGAACAGGCCCTGTCTGATTGGCTGCCGCAAACGGTCACAAACTGACATAAATAGTGGTTTAAAGAAACACTGGAATAAGGAAGTTTACGATGTGAATTCCCCTTAAATATATATATTGTTTTATTGAATAATTATTACTATTTCTTTTAATTAATAATTCATGATTTTACACGCAATAGCGCCACCTGTGTAACCTCAAATTTTGTCGAACTGGTTGTCGTGTCATTATTCAGTTCAGATGTTCTTATATGTGTGTGTCAGGGTTGTAAACTACTGTACAAACGTGTGCGAGTGTGTGTGTAAGTGTGTGTGTGTGAGGGGGTGAGGGAGTGGGGGCGGAGGTACGGACAAGGGGAGGAAGGAGGGGGAGGAAGCTGAAAGGAAAGGAAAGGTGGGAGGGGCGGATGATGCAGGAATCCAACGACAATCAGGAAGTGAGTGTGGAGGAGCCTGTTTCCATGNGTGTGTATCAATATTAATATGGTTGGCCCGTCAGGCCGGGAGAGGAAAATAATCCAATAAAGACTTTGTCACTGACATCGACTGGACGTGTTTTTGAATTAGCATCGTGAACTAATGACTGTCGTGACGTCACCACACCTTAGTTTAAAAATCACAAAGTTTAAAATCATAGCTACATGACATACATAACAACCAGGATAAACCGATACTTTGAAGTTAATTCGCTTTATTAATCAAATGTACCTTCTCCAAATGTTACAAATTTGGTAAAATAAAAAAAGACAGAGCCACTAATTAGACTAAAAAAATGAATATTGATGTTTTTAAAACACTTTTTTATAAATAGCCAAAACAAAAAATATTTTATTTTGATGAAATCGTAATGGTATCATGGTTATATGTTAGTGATATAAATGCCGTGCAAATAAACGATGAAAGTCCATGTAGCAAAAAATATAATGGCGATGCTGCCCCCTGCTGTTATAAATGAGGAGTGCAAATAAATGAAAATACTTTATCTTTTTTGCGACTGGATTATCTTCATATTAACTGAAAGAAATGAGCATTTTTTTGAGAAACAATTTAATAATTATGAACAATATTAAGACATTTACGAGTGTTTCTAATAATCACATGGTTGTATCTCATAGGAATTCAATATTATCGTATCTCCTAATATCACGACACTGTCTCATTAAAGTTTTTAACTAAAATATTTTTAAATAGTATCCAATATTACTGCAGTAGTATCTATCTTTAAGTGTAAAAACTCAAAATGCTCCAATGTTTTGTATAGATCAGACTTCTCTACCAAAAAGTCAAAACCATATCTCCTAATATCACAACACTGTCTCATTAAAGTTTTTAATGAGACAGACTTCTCTACCAAAAAGTCAAAACCAAGGTATGGTTTTATGTTTATTTTTAATATACTTTATTCTTTTTTCCGGCAATTTCAAGATAAAGAGGGAGTTAAATATAGTATATGGTAGTAGTACAATACTGCAGAATACTCAGTAGAACTATTTTTGTTTATTCTAAGTATTTGCCTGATGTTTTTTAAACAGGATGAACGTTTTCTTCCAGCAGTTTGGCCTGAGCTGCGTAACGTAACACGGGAACATCACGGAAACTTGGGGGAAATGCACATTTCAGCACGTCATGTATACTCATCAGGTGTACGTGAGTCTGATTGAGCCACGTCAGAAAACTCTTCAGGTTGGAGTCACAGAGGAATCGATTCATATTTAGTTCAAGGAAGCTGAGGGTTTGGAAAGCAGCGGGGTCTGGAGAGGCTATGAAGTTGTTGGAAAGATCCAGTGTCTTCAGATGTTTGGGGAAAACTCCCGGAATCAGATACGTCAGAAGGTTAGACGAAAGATCAATGGCAACAACCGAGGTCATGCCCTTGAAGATGTTCCATGGAACAAACTCCAGCTTGTTATCACGTAGGCTGAGCGTTTTCACGTGTTTCATGTCGTCAAACACAGCCTGGCATCTGTGCTGAGACCAAATTGACTGCAGGGAGTTGCCGTGAAGATCCAGGACCTGCAAACGATTGGGACCGACGGATGAATGTCGAGAGCACAAGTTGATTGCGTTCCCTCCAAAGTTAAAGTGCTGGAGATGATGGAGCTGAGACACCAGGCTGTAAACACTCTCCAAGTCTGTCACTCTGTTGTCACTGATGTCCAGATACGTGACGTTAGCAGCAAATTGAGCAACGTTGCTCATGAACCGATGCGTCAACCTGTTGTCATTCAAACGGAGATCATGTAAACTGGGGAGAGACGCTGGGAAGCCAAGGTCTCGCAGAGCGTTCCCCGTGAAAAGTAATGTTTTCAGTTTTGGAAGTCCACTGAAGGCCTTGTACCCAAGGACGCCGATGTTGTTGTGGGACAGGTCCAGGACCTCCAGGTTGGTCAGAAAATGAAAAGTGTAAGAATAGATTTCCCCCAGTAGATTGTGGGATAAGTTGAGCGTCTTTAATTGATCCTGCAGACCCTCGAAGGCATTTCTGTGAATCTCATTCACTCTGTTTTGGGAAATGTCAATAAGTTTGGCCTCTCTCAGTGGATTAAAAACCCCGTGTCGCAACGCAAATATTCTATTCTTGGACAGATCCAAAATCTGAAGAGTACTGTTCCTTAAGCCTTCAAATGTGCTGTTGTCAGGATCAGGGAGATTATTGAATGAGAACCCTTTGCCCACGTGCCCTGACAGTTTGAGGTGGGAGATCTTTGTCCCCTCGATGGCTCTGAGGAAGTGCTTTATTTGACTCATGCTCAGCCCGTTGTTTGACAGGTCAATGCTCTGAAAGGACATTTCTCTGAAAGGATTGCCACATGTTTTCCAGTCCAAACTTCGATTACTCAGGCCGCCGGGACGAAGTCCGGATTCTAAATTCAAGGTGTTGAAATGCTTCCCCCGAAAAGCTGTGAGATCCGATTCACACAGCTGTACGATTCTGTTCAAGCGCAGATCCAGATATTTGAAACTGCTCATGTTGGCAAAGAACTTGGCAGGTTGGAGTCTCCTTATGTGATTGCCAGAGAGATGGAGTGTCTCTAAAGAGGACAGCGGCTGCAGGTATTCCTCCTGCAGTATTGATTCGTTGAGAGAACAGTGACTCAAGTCCAGCTCCTGCAAACTGGACAACCCCACGAAGGCCCTGGGCTCCAGCTGAAGATCCCGGTTCCCGCTGAGCACCAGCTTCTTTAGGCGACTTTGAGCAACAAAGGCGTCGTTTCTAATCACCATCGACCTGTGAATTCTATCAAGGTACAACTCCTCCAGCTGTGTGAGTCCTGACAGGTATGTGGAGTTGATCTCAGGGAGGTGCCTCACAGACACGTACAGGTAGGTGAGACCAGGAGGGAGAAGAGGGAGCCATGTGTTGGAAAGGAACAGACACTGAGCCCTAGAGCCAGATATGTAGCACTTTGAGTGACTCAAGTTCACCTGCGTGTGGAAAAGAACATGGGTTTCATTCTCATCAGCTATTATTTGATAGTAATTAAAAAAAGATAAATACAGTAAGAAACATTTTATCGTAATAAAAAAGATAAATACAGTAAGAAACATTTTTTATGTATGTTTTGAAAGTGTGAGCAGAGTTACAAGAAAGTAAAAAAAGACGAAAAATAGACGAAAAAAGATTAAAAAACAGAGAGAAAAATTAAAAGAAGAAAAAAGGAAAGAAGTAAATTGAAATACAGAAAGAAAAATGAAGAAGAGGAAAACAATATTGTAATGTCAATCAAAATAATAAAATAGTTCTAAAATATTAGTTGTTAAATGTGGTGAAATTTATTACAAAAAAGCACAAAATCCTAATTAAGTGAATAAAATGTTGCATAAGGTAAATAGAATTAGCTTAAGCTATACCTTAAACTCAACAAACTTAATAGTTACAAGAGCTAAAAGTTAAAGAGATTTAAAGGGAATTGATCTAAAATGACACATTTTAAAATATCTTTCCTTTGATTTTCTTTCTTTTCTTTCCTGTCACAGAGTTAAACCTCTATCTCCAGATCCCGCTCCTGTGTTTACCTACCTGTAGGACAACACAGATGGACAGCAGCTGAAGACACAGCAGCCTCATCCTCACACTTCTCTCTTCTTCTTCTCCTCTGAACAAAAACAACAACCACCTGATCTGACATCCGTCCGTCTGCTGCACTTTTATCTGTCACTGCTTCACTGAAGTTGAATGACCTCGATCTGAAAACACCAGACAAACATCGATATCTCCACAGAGAACTTCCAACTTTGCATAAGCCGGGGGTGTCCTCTCGTGTGTAAACTCTAGTGATTTCAGTGACACAAACATGAGCTGGTCATTTGTTTACTGCAGCAGTCGGGGGTTTCTGGTCTTTTATGATCGTCATTGTGTTCTAACAGAGCCCTGGTGAAAAGCTATTAAAAAAAATCAAAAAAGGAGTTATTAAGACATGTTAGGTTTTCCTTCCTAGCACCTGATTGGTCAGCCTCAGTATATAGAACCACTAGAGTTAATCTCTTTATCAGGTTCTGCAACAGGAACAAACTTCCTCTAATTCATTTTCCGTGTGAAGCCTGCCTGTAACATTGCCGATTAATCACACAGTGTGAGTGTGTTTCTGTCACACGGAGCTGGTGAATTTCACAACCACTGCTGAATGATAGTGGGTCAAACACAGACACTGGGTGAAAGATTATACATTAGGAAAATAATAAGAGCAAAAAACAGTTATTGAGATCTCTATCTTCTCCTGCAGATGTGTATTTCTGATCATAAATACCCCACGTGGACAGAGATATCAATAAAAAAAAAGAAAATGAATGAATAAATAAACACTGCACCACTTGACAATCACTAAAATACACTAAAATACACTGAATTGCAGAACCATACATAGGTGGTCACCTAGGGCGCCATCTACTGGAGCGGTCAATGCTGTAACCAAAACTAAAAAAAACCTCAGTAAAATACCTAACCGCTACTGTCAACCTTTATTTGTGCTCTTGTCTTGAAAATCACAAAAACCTCATCACAAAAACAAAATCCTGCTTTTATATTACAATGCAATTGTTTTTAATTATTATTACACTTTTTCATTATTCATATTTTGAGTTTTTTTTATTTATGCCATTTATTTTTTAACTGTAGTTCCATGTTATTTATTATTTTTAGCCTGTGCCTGTCATTCAGCTGTCACTCATTATTTTGGGTGGGGGGGTTGCTGGGGGTTTGTGGTAGGGGGCGGCTTCAAACTATAATCAGGTAACAATAATGACTAGAGCCGAATGAGAGTGGATTAATTACTTCATAATTGTCCTGCCCACCGCAGATTTAAGTCAAACACAACCTACCTTTAAAAACAATGAGTGGTTATTAATAACGGTAGTGACAGTGAGTGGCAGGCAGGGGGCGTGTCGAGTGGGACGAGCCAAGGAGGCGAGTATGACTTCTTTCAAAAATAGTTCACTTCATCACAGTCAGTAACCCGTAGAACAGCAGCTGCAGAGGAGGAGAAGGAGGAGGAAAAGGAGGATAGTGTCAAACATGGCCCCCTACGGAAATAAATAACGGGACCGGGGGGTTGCGGGAGTTTTTTTTTTTTTTCCAAGTATAAAACCGAGATCAAAACACCGTGAAAAGAGGAAGCGGACGGAAAAGGAAAAGCAGTTCAATTCAGCGGCACGTTTCCCTGTGTTGATGTTGGTGTTGGGCGACGAGTACCTGCCGCAAAAAGTCCCGGTAAGTACATTATTCTGTCCGTGTACGGTTCGGTTTTACGTTCAAATGCGAGCCGAACGTTAAGCTATGACCGCCGTAAGTGATTATGGCTGAACTGGGAAAAAAGAGAGAGAATTTCAGACAGCTTTCAAGTCCACATTCATTCGAAGGACTAAGGTGAAGAGGGAGTTAAAAAGTTTTTTTTTCTGCAAACATGGCCGCTCAGATATCACTCAGCTTCCCAGAAGTAGACACAACTAAAAATAAAAAAGAAGTCGATAAAAAGCTACAGCTGTGCCTCCTTTTATATTTATAAAAATTCTATAAATGTTTTTTTTAAACATAGTAATAATATCGCGGACATACTATGACTAAAAATGTCCAGTAAGTTGTCCCTCCCCCGTGCGGAGTCATAAGTCAGGCCCACTTTTCAAATCAAAACCACGATTGGTGTCCACTTATGTGGGAGGAACGATATCCCATTCAAATATCTGGCATTTTTTGCAGTCCCTGCCTCTCCGTGGATCCTGTCGAGATGTTTAACATTTCTCAGTGTGTTCATTTAACTCAGCATAGATCATCTTAAATTTCGGCACTGTATTTTAAAGAATTTACGAGTGTTAAGTTTGCCTATGAGCAAGAAAAGATGGGGCAAAGACGCCATTGACACGAACCTGGGATTATTTACACTAGTTCCTGTCAGAAAAGTCTTTTTCCTTTTCCTTTTTCCATAGACAATGTAAGCATAATAGTCGTAGATGACAAGTCTCACGAACATTACACTGGCCTTTAATAAGGTTAAAGTCTGTATTCAGTGTTAACACACCACATAAATCAGTGTATTAATGCAGTTTTATGAAAACCTCTACAACTACAGACAAATAAATAAGGTTGTTAATATTTAAGTCCTGCGTACATATGGATGAACAAAAAATGAATTAAATTAAGAAAAATAACATAAAATCACACTATGTAAACACAAAAACCAACAACAGACTCCAAGTGCTGTTTGTACTGAAAAAAAAATCCAAATGAAAGGGAAGACCTAAAAAGACACAGATTACAGTAATTGACAGACTTTACGCTCCATGAAGGTCGATTATCACGATGTGTACTTAAGTTGAGTCGCGGGCAATTTGTTGACATCTTACAAAAATAGCCAAATGAGAGAGGAAAGAAAATGAAGGTGAGCCGTGAGTGATAACTGGGTATAAAAATGCAGCTCTGAGCATCACCTCCATATGTTACCTGCAGTAATGTTACCCACCGCCAGCCCATAATCTCTGACATCTAATCAGAGTGGGAGCTGCATATGGAAATGTTCTGGGATGTTGTTTCATTTACAGCAGTCCTGCAGAGTTGTGTTTCTCTCTACAATACCGTGTGGGTGGGGAGATAATGGTTGTGAGGATGAAACCCTATAATTAGAAGCTGCCGTTTCTTCCCGGCTTGCAGTTTATATAATTTCTCTCGAATTAAATTATAGTGTAATTCAAGTATTCTTTGTTTTGGATATACTGTAGAAGCAGCTGCGTTGTCCTCCAACATCTCTGGTGACCTCAGCGCCCGCATCCCCCTCCCCCTCCTCTTCTAAGCCCCCCCCCCACAGTTTGTGTTTTATTGAGTTGATTCTCAGATAATTTTGCAAAATTGCAGTAAAGTGCAGACCTTGTTGTTCAGCAGAAAAAAAAACTGCTATTGTGTTGTTTGTATAAATGGTTTGGCGGTGGTTTTTCCAAGGTCACTCATATGTTGTTGACCCTGCACTTCGTCAGGTCATCGATCTGCGCTGGAGCAAGGTTAGTAAAAAAAAAAAAGGGAATAAAAAGTGCAAATTCTGAGTTTTAAGTAAGTTTAAGTTTGGGAACAAGAAAAAGAAAAGTCAAATCACGCCGACGTTATTTGTAAGCAGTGCACGAGGCCCAAAGGAACTGAAATGAAATGAAACATTTGGTGTCTTCAAGACGGTCGCTGCAACTTTCACTTCCTCCCCTCGTCTTTGTGTGTCAACCTTCCTGTTGCTGTCATCGTCTCAGCGGGTAGTTCTTCTCTTTTCCGGCCCCTTCGTGCCGTCGACCGACTGTGACATTTATAACACCACCACCGCAGTCGACACAGTGTGACATCAGAGTTTGTGACCCAGTTAGGCCACTGGGGCACAACCCTGGTGTGGAACCAGTTTCTTTGCTCAGAGACTCTACATTTTTTGTTGTTAGCTGTAGCTCTCGGCTCTCCTGCAGGGACATTTTTAGCCGACTGGCACAATGTCAAGGCTAGGATATCACATGACCTCTTGGAGAGTGAGGATTGTTACCATGTATGGCCCAGAGACAGGAATCCAAACTATGGGATGTATTTAAAAAAAAAAATCCTTCCTTTTGTGAGAGTTCTTTCTCTGTTTGAGTTATACAATTCCATTTACATATTTAATCATTATAAAATGTTGATCAGTGGGTCTGACAAGACTAAAAACTCTAAGTCCTATATTTCCACCCTTCGTCCACTGAATGTTGCTCTGATACACAGTCTTTACACGTTGTTTTTTGCACGCACTGCCGGGTGTCGTTTTAGCGTCACTGAAGCATCTCAAGTTTAAAACACCATCTCAACAGCCAGCACCATTTTGTGGAGGTTTTAACTTACTTTGTGAAGCTACATTTTCAGTTGAACTTTTGCACTTTTTTTTTTCCTGACATTGTCTTTCTGTTCCATCATTTTTCAGATGTATTCCTCATATTTAAGATGGTTGACTGATCCTGATTTATGTCAGCACCATTTTTGCTTGTACTTCCTACAACCAGCATGACCTCCTTTACAGTTCTCCGAGCATTCCATCCCTGACCCCCCTCCCACCCCCCTCGTTCTAACTTCACCTGCAGCCACAGGTGAAGATGTAAACGGAGATGAGAGTGTGATCCTAAATCTGTGAAAACCCCTTCAGGTTTATGCTGCATCAGAGGAAGAACTGCTGCGGTAAAAAACAAAGCTGAGGACTGACTGACTGACTGACTGACTGACTGGCTGACTGACTGTGTTGGGGGCATGTTTCTTCTGGTATTAGAGAGTCTATGAAATATGACCCAGGAAGGCTGGTTTCAATAGCATGACCCTGAAAAGCTTCTTGTACGTTAAATCACCTCAAACGCATTTAGCTTCAAACATGGAGCTGTGTAGCTGAAGGACAGATATATGAAAAAATGAAGAAGAAAAAAATAATAAGAGTTGATGTTACAAAGCCTGAACATGTACTGATGGTATTGGCTAATGCAGCGCCAGAGTTGAAAGTTCAAGTTGTTCACATCGTAACAATTCCTTTATTTAAACACTGTGTAAACAACGTGAACCTGCCTATATCCAACGCTGTAGGTCAGGGGTCACCAACTGTATTTGTTGGAGGGCCAGAGTTTATTCTGTACAGACATCTTGGGGGACCAAACACTCAAATAAAATGAGAAGACAATGATGATTTTAGAGACCCTGTCAGCAGGCTCCGCCCACCACTTCACTACCTCAGAGGTCAATGTTAGCTCCGTGACCTGTGACGTCCTAGCTGCCCGTACAGAATGTGGAAGCAGATACGGGTTGCTTCTGTTTTCACCCGCCTGGCGACAACCCTGGGGTCACTGCAGGTCGGCCGGCTGGTCTTTTTGGCAGCACTGGGGTCAAAGGTTAGGAGTGGGGAGGTTTAAGAGGCAGTGATGCGGGGGGTTAGCTTTCAGTTCAACCTGTGGTTGTGTGTATATATATATGTATCTATATATTTATATATACATATGTATCTATATATTTATGTATATATGTATATATGTATATATGTATCTATATACTGTATATATGTGTATATATGTATCTATATATTTACATATATATAGATACATATATGTATATATATCTATATATGTGCATATACTTGTATACTTACCTATATATGTATATATGTACATATATGTGCATATACATATATATACATTCATGTGGGTATACATATATACATACACATACATACAGTATGTGTATGTATATGTATAAATACATATATACATACACATACATACAGTATGTGCATGTATATGTATCTATATAAGCATATATATACATATACATACACATACATACAGTACAGTGTGTGTATGTGTATGTATAACACCAATACACTGGTCAGTCCTGTCAGGACGGACTGTGAGATTACAGAGCAGCTGCAGCTGGTTATGTAGTTATGTGGCATGCATGGTGCGCATGTGGTGGTAAACACCCTCTTAGTCTTGTTTAGTACCACCTCACCCGTCCGACGCCTCTCTCCCCGTATCTCTGTCTTCTTCTTCTTCTTCTTCTTGTGTTCCACTCGTGGACTTCTACTTTGTGGATTTACCCACAGGAAGTGTAACCCTAAGGTAAAGTTCATTTCAAATCTGGCTGAACGGCGTGAAGTGCACGAGTTGGTGGCTCAGGCCGAGTGTGTGTGTGTGTGATTCTTATGAACAGGTGTGTGCATTTCGTGTGAAGAGTGAGAAAGTTGGTGTTTGTCAGAGAGTTTAGTGTGTGTTTGTGCAGTGTTTCACTACACCATTTGCTCTGTTTAGATGTTGCTGCTGCAGAAGTTTAACCAGACTAGAGGAGGAGTATTTTCTGCACAGATGCACCATTTGGGTGGCCTGCATCGATGGAACACTTTACCCCTATTACATGAACCGTCGCCCACTGATGCAGGGGAGATAGTTTAGGTTTAATGACAGGTGAAGTTTACTTCATGATGTAAACATAGAAAATATCATCAAACCAATCTCCCAGTTTATAGGATACTTCAAACCGACATTCCTCTGTGTACATTCCCTGTTTTTTTATATTTCTTTTTGGGGCTGATTTTTATGCCCGTCAGTGTAAAAATGACCCACTAGGTGGCAATAATGCAACTCAGCCTCCACCAACTTGTGTTGATGTTTGAGAAAAAAAAGAAATATGATGCAGCAGGTTACGATCGTCCCACTCTAATTCTGTTACTCATGGCAAATATGTCTCTCCGCGGCAGTTATTCATCGACTCCCGCGCCCCTCCTCCCCCGTTTGTCTTCTTCTGTGGAGTGTGTCTCCTTCAGTTTGTCCTCGCTGTCGTCCCCCAATGAGCCATTGTCTTTGATGTGAAAAGACTTTTCAGATTGTCCTTCTCTTTTCTCTGTCTCTGTGTCTCTCTGTTAGACGTCCCCCATTGAAGCTCCCCTGTCCTGTGTGACCCCCCTGACACGGAGAGGTATGACCACACACATGCAAACAGACACACACACACACACACACAGTTACACAACATTCAGTCCAATTAAAGGGATAGTGCGCTCATCCATATTCATATGCTTCAAAATAGTCAGAAAAATAACGATATTTTTGTTTTTGGAGAAATGACAACAGTTTATTGACTAAAAAGTCCAAAGACTAAGAAAAAAAAAAATCAGTCCAATTAAAGGGATAGTGCGCTCATCCATATTCATATGCTTCAAAATAAAGTGAAAATTAACGATATTTTTGTTTTTGGAAAAATGACAACAGTTTATTGACTAAAAAGTCCAAAGACTAAGAAAAAAAAAAAGAATTTTTTTTTTCCCCATTTATCCAAATAAAGAATAAAAACCAACTCACCAGATGAGACCTAGTTCTGTCCAATGGGTTCTGTGTCCAAGTGGGTTAGAATTTTTTTCATCTGAACTTTGGTGAAAAATAAAGTTAGCATATGATTAGCATATGTTCCCAGTCATTAAAAAAATAGTTTGGTTCTGTTTAGGATGAAGTCGTGATCAAAGTTAACATTACTGTCCAGTTCAGCTGAGGCTTCACTCTCAGTGACAGACGCATGGAATTTATCGTTTGTCATTTACTTTTACTGCAACACGTAACACAAAACTTGAGACAATTAAAAGTGCAGCAATGGTTTTATGGAGTGTGTGTGTGTGTGTGTGTAGCTTTGTGTGTTTAGGTGTGTGTGAGTTTACTGTATTTCAGACCGGCCTGCTCTGTTTGCATGTTTGTTTCTGTCAAGCTCAGCAAATGTCAGCCTTAATAAAACACCATGGTGCAATGGTGGTACCACCCACACAAACAGAGAGGGGCAACACACACACACACACACACACACACACACACACACACCCACACACACTGACCATGTCCTTCAGCGCTGAGTCCTTGAAGAAGAGTCTTTTAATGTCACATAGCACGAAGAATAAAATAATTAGTGTTTCAAAAAAAAGTGAAATGGACTGGATTTCTAAAAAAAAAAAAAAGAAAACTCATCCCTTTCTGGGTTTGGAAAAACAAATGTAATCAGTCCAACAAAATATATTTTTTCTTTGCTCCACTAAAACAGTTGCAGATGATTTATGGTCTGTGGACAGAACCAAAATATTCCAGGACTTTGGTTTTGATTTAGAGGTCGTAGAGACGCTGACTGACATTTTCTCCAATTTACTCCACTATTTAAAAAATTATATGTTTCTTTCCAGCTTTCTTGTGGAAATTATGTTTTTGTGATCAAGTCAAAAACATAATTTAATTTTAATTCTTTAGTAGTAATTCCTTTTATTTTCTACTTATTCCAACCAGTGTTAACTCAGCAGTTGTCACGTTTTAGACTCGTAGACTTGAATTCAGCCGTGATGTCACCTGAAGTTTGGGCCAGTCGTCCTCAGACCTCCCTGGCACTGCGTCAGAGTATGTTTGACTCCCTTCCAGTAGCAGGTTCTCAGGACTTCAGCCCAGTGATAAGGTGTAAAAACTGCAGCCCAGCCCTTGTTGGCCCTCTGACACAGTGGGGGGTAATTGCAGAGGGGGTAATTATATCTAGGGTGGCTTAAAGCTTTAGGAGTTAAAATAAGAAACAAACCTCACGCACCAAATGTTCCCACATGTCAGCTATATATGCAGGCAGAAAGACAGGCGAGGGTCGACGTTATCGCCGCGGCCCGGCTGGAAATAACAGTTTACTCACCGTGGGGTTCAGGGTTTTACAGGACGAGTGAGTGAGTGAGTGACTTTTAGAAACTGCTGCGTGTCCTTATTTGGCTCCTACACTGTCTGTGAGTGACGATAATGTTGATGGAAACATACTTCACCGGAAAGTAGAGGAGAAGAGAGTTGAACCAATAAACCCACCCTCCACCGAGCAGCTGTCGCTTTGATTACAAATACATACAAATGAGACAGACAGAGAGAGAGAGAGAGATGAGTTTGTTGGGTTAGCGCTGGTTAATATTGTAATCATGTTGACCTTGTTTTTTTGGCAGGCCTTAAAAGCAGTGTGTCAAACATCTGCTCAGTTCTAAACCGGCACAAATCATCAACGTCCCAAAAAATTGGCTCCTGAAGTCGATGAGTTTTTGGCTTGTTTTTTTTTTTGTTTTTTTTTGTCGTCTACCATTATTTTAAACACTTTTTAAAAATCCACAGTTTGGATGTTTGCCCAGTGATGTGTTGAATCTGGGTTCAAGACCTTTCTCTGGTATAAAATTGTCTTGGGGGCATTGGGTTCACAGCCCAGTGACATCATCAAGATGGTGGACCATCAGACGACTTTAGGAATATTTGTCCTACACCTACAGTACCAGCACAAAACACACTGAAACACACTGCACCATGCTGTGTTGCTGCTAGGATTTTTTTTTTTTAGGCATCGGGCGTCAGGTCACCCCCCCTTCCCCAATGTTCTCTCACCTTTGCTCTGCTGTTCCTGTCTGTCTAATTTTGTCTCTTTTTTATGAGTTAACAAGATATATTTATATTCCAGGATACAGACACACACACACACACACGCTACATCAAACTTGGACAAACCGTTGATGGCAGATATTAAATGTGCCAAATTATATTTGTATATTTTGTACATTTATAATAATGAACCTTGTGAGCAGTTTCACTGTAATTACAGTGTACATTTATAATATTGAACCTACTTTATTTCCTTTCCTTGTTGTGAGCAGTTTCACTGTAATTACAGGGAACCCCTGCGCTGAAAACCCTCATACTTTAAGGTCTGTTGGACTTCAGTTATGCGTCGTGGACAGAAACATTTGTAATAGGAACTTAGGAACTCACCATGAACTATTTTGTGTTTCATCCTATAATAACTGACTGGTTGATCCAGCCAGTGATGGTTATACACAGCTTCCAGGCACTTCCTCTTTGGCTCCACTTCCTGCACAAATCAAATCAGATTACTGTAGAAAATGGCTTTTTCTCTTTCGTTAATCAGCAGGACAATTTGTCCTTAAAAGGCAGAAAATGTGGTAAATGCACATTATGTTTTCGCCCGACCACGAGAATAATGACATCCTCGGATATTCAGCCGTGTCCAAACACCAAAGATTTTCATGTTTTAATGTCAAACAAGAAGAAGAGAATCCAGACAACAGTCACTTTTAAAAGGCCGTAACCAGAGATCGTGTTTATGTCTGAAAAAAAAAAAAGTTAATTCAAGACAATTATAAAACGGTAACTCGATGTTGAAACATAGTGAGTGAGTGTATGAGGTATGGGGTCAGATGTTTTCCCTAACATTTTTTTTTTTTTTTTTTTGGAACACTCAAGTGAACAGAGACACTTGGGTGGAGCGCTGAGGAGACAGGACACGGGCCCAGATGGAGGCGTGAAGCAGCTTGTTGCCCGTTTATCTGATCATCTGAACGCGCCGTTAACCTGCCCTGTCGCCTCGCTCCACCGCTGGCTCTCAGTAACTGGAGAGGACCTGCGTGTATTGTGTACTCGCTGAATGAAGTATCTTTCTCAAGGACACTTTAAAAGAAGTTGTTGGACCCT